TAAAAATTAGGGCAGAAATAAATGCAAAAGAAACTAAAGAGACCATAGCAAAAATCAACAAAGCTAAAAGCTGGTTTTTTGAAAAAAATAAACAAAATTGACAAACCATTAGCAAGACTCATTAAGAAACAAAGGGAGAAGAACCAAATTAACAAAATTAGAAATGAAAATGGAGAGATCACAACAGACAACACTGAAATACAAAGGATCATAAGAGACTATTACCAGCAGCTCTATGCCAATAAAATGGACAACCTGGAAGAAATGGACAAGTTCTTAGAGAAGTATAACTTTCCAAAACTGAACCAGGAAGAAATAGAAGATCTTAACAAACCCATCACAAGCAAGGAAATCGAAACTGTAATCAGAAATCTTCCAGCAAACAAAAGCCCAGGACCAGATGGCTTCACAGCTGAATTCTACCAAAAATTTAGAGAAGAGCTAACACCTATCTTACTCAAACTCTTCCAGAAAATTGCAGAAGAAGGTAAACTTCCAAACTCATTCTATGAGGCCACCATCACCCTAATTCCAAAACCAGACAAAGATGCCGCAAAAAAAGAAAACTACAGGCCAATATCACTGATGAACATAGATGCAAAAATCCTTAACAAAATTCTAGCAAACAGAATCCAACAACATATTAAAAAAATCATACACCATGACCAAGTGGGCTTTATCCCAGGAATGCAAGGATTCTTTAATATCTGCAAATCAATCAATGTAATACACCACATTAACAAATTGAACGATAAAAACCATATGATTATCTCAATAGATGCAGAAAAAGCCTTTGACAAAATTCAACATCCATTTATGATTAAAACTCTCCAGAAAGCAGGAATAGAAGGAACATACCTCAACATAATAAAAGCTATATATGACAAACCCACAGCAAGCATCACCCTCAATGGTGAAAAATTGAAAGCATTTCCCCTGAAATCAGGAACAAGACAAGGGTGCCCACTCTCACCACTACTATTCAACATAGTTTTGGAAGTGTTGGCCACAGAAATCAGGGCAGAAAAAGAAGTAGAAGGAATCCAGATAGGAAAAGAAGAAGTGAAACTCTCGCTGTTTGCAGATGACATGATCCTCTACATAGAAAACCCTAAAGACTCTACCAGAAAATTACTAGAGCTAATCAACGAATACAGTAAAGTTGCAGGATATAAAATTAACACACAGAAATCTCTTGCATTCCTATACACTAACAATGAGAAAACAGAAAGAGAAATTAAGGAAACAATACCATTCACCATTGCAACAAAAAGAATAAAATACTTAGGAGTATATCTACCTAAAGAAACAAAAGACCTATACATAGAAAACTATAAAACACTGATGAAAGAAATCAAAGAGGACACAAACAGATGGAGAAATATACCATGTTCGTGGATTGGAAGAATCAATATTGTCAAAATGGCTATACTACCCAAAGCAATCTATAGATTCAATGCAATCCCTATCAAACTACCAACGGTATTTTTCACAGAACTAGAACAAATAATTTCACAATTTGTATGGAAATACAAAAAAACCTCGAATAGCCAAAGTAACCTTGAGAAAGAAGAATGGAACTGGAGGAATCAACCTGCCTGACTTCAGACTATACTACAAAGCCACAGTCATCAAGACAGTATGGTACTGGCACAAAGACAGAAATATAGATCAATGGAACAGAATAGAAAGCCCAGAGATAAATCCACAAACCTATGGTCACCTTATCTTCGACAAAGGAGGCAAGGATATACAATGGAAAAAAGACAACCTCTTTAACAAGTGGTGCTGGAAAAACTGGTCAACCACCTGTAAAAGAATGAAACTAGAACACTTTCTAACACCATACACAAAAATAAACTCAAAATGGATTACAGATCTAAATGTAAGACCAGAAACTATAAAACTCCTAGAGGAGAACATAGGCAAAACACTCTCCGACATAAATCACAGCAGGATCCTCTATGACCCACATTCCAGAATTTTAGAAACAAAAGCAAAAATAAACAAATGGGACCTAATGAAACTTAAAAGCTTTTGCGCAACAAAGGAAACTATAAGCAAGGTGAAAAGACAGCCCTCAGATTGGGAGAAAATAATAGCAAATGAAGCAACAGACAAAGGATTAATCTCAAAAATATACAAGCAACTCCTCCAGCTCAACTCCAGAAAAATAAATGACCCAATCAAAAAATGGGCCAAAGAACTAAACAGACATTTCTCCAAGGAAGACATACAGATGGCACAAAAACACATGAAAAGATGCTCAACATCACTCATTATCAGAGAAATGCAAATCAAAACCACAATGAGGTACCATTACATGCCAGTCAGGATGGCTGCTATCCAAAAGTCTACAAGCAATAAATGCTGGAGAGGGTGTGGAGAAAAGGGACCCTCTTACACTGTTGGTGGGAGTGCAAATTAGTACAGCCACTATGGAAAACAGTGTGGAGATTTCTTAAAAAGCTGGAAATAGAGCTGCCATATGACCCAGCAATCCCACTTCTGGGCATACACACCGAGGAAACCAGATCTGAAAGAGACACGTGCACCCCAATGTTCATCGCAGCACTGTTTATAATAGCCAGGACATGGAAGCAACCTAGATGCCCATCAGCAGACGAATGGATGAGGAAGCTGTGGGACATATACACCATGGAATATTACTCAGCCATTAAAAAGAATTCATTTGAATCAGTTCTAATGAGATGGATGAAACTGGAGCCCATTATACAGAGTGAAGTAAGCCAGAAAGATAAAGACCATTACAGTATACTAACACATATATATGGAATTTAGAAAGATAGCAATGATAACCCTATATGCAAAACAGAAAAAGAGACTCAGATGTATAGAACAGACTTGTGGACTCTGGGAGAAGGCGAGGGTGGGATGTTCCAAGAGAACAGCATCGAAACATGTATATTATCTAGGGTGAAACAGATCACCAGCCCAGGTTGGGTGCATGAGACAAGTGCTCAGGCCTGGTGCACTGGGAAGACCCAGAGGGATTGGGTGGAGAGGGAGGTGGGAGGGGGGACCGGGATGGGGAATACATGTAAATCCATGGCTAATTCATTTCAATGTATGACAAAACCCACTGCAATGATGTAAAGTAATTAGCCTCCAACTAATAAAAATAAATGGAAAAAAAAGAAAAAAACAAAAGAACTGGCCCCCTTTGATGCTATCTCTCCCTTTGACATCCTATCCACCTGTTCAGACTCATCTCAAAGACTGTCTCCTGTTTAAGACCTTTCTGGTTCCTCCAGTTGAATAAGATTCTATTCTCCCCCTGAACTCCCATGGATGAACTTTCCCACTTACCCTCTTACTCTGCCTTAAATAGGTTGAACAGATGAAACTGCCAATGTTCATATGTTTCAATCTAGTATTATCATTTTCTCATAGAATAACGTTCAAAGGCAGAGACCTGTGTCAAAACACCCATTTTGATGGAATAATGGGTTTGCTGGGCATTAGAGAAGGGGGTATGGCAAGAGAAGAGACTGGAGAGGCGGGCAAAGGGTAGACTATGGTGGACCTCATGTGCCAAGTCAAGGAGCATCAGCTTCATCCTGAAAATGACTGGAAGCCGTCAGAGAGAGGAGAGAGTGTGTGTGTGTATAAACTATAAACGTATGTGGGGAGGGATAAGTAGAGATTCTAAGACACACAGCAGCTGAAGACTGTGCATTATGGTTGACAGCATGGAACACTGATTTGCAAATTAATATTTGTACACAGTGATAACCTAGTATAGCATTCATTCTGGAGAGGACAGTTTAGAGATCATCTATCCAATAATCACATTTTACACATGGAGAGATGGAAAGTCTCGCCTCTGGTCATGGGCCTTGTGAGCATCCAGGTCAATAATTATTGCCAATAATAATCTTTTCTTTTTATCATTAGCATATGTGTCAAAATTGTGTTTGAATTAACAAGAATTTTATTTGGCCTGTATTTAACATCAACAACTGAAGAGGTCACTATCTCAAATACTTTATGTAATAAATTGAATTCAAATATAAGCTATATCCAGTAGGAATAAAATGGATTTCTCACAGCAAAATCAGTGTAGTCTTTTTGGGAGGCCACACCCTTAAGCCATTGGCATCAATGTCAATAACACATACAGTGTCATTAGCATTGATGTCGGCAATGCCCTCAGCAGCTTTGGAACTCATTTCTGGGAAACGCCTCTGAACTTAGAGAGGCAGTAAAGGGTAGTGACTGAGTGTTGGCCTCCTGAGCCCAAGTGTCTGCAGTCGATTTTGGCTCTGCCCTTCATGAGATGAGTGACCTGGGACACTGATTACTGCTTTGCGTCCCAATTTCCCCATGCATGGAAAAAGAAAAAATACTGGTACCTACCTCTAGGGCTGTTAAGAGGATTAAATGAGTTACTACTCTAATGCACTGGGAATAGCCTGGAACATGATAGGTGTTACATGGGCATATGTTAAATCCAATAAAGCCAGATATAAACCCCATGAAACAGTTGGCAAGATGAATTTCTAATTATGCTCTGGTTAAAGCTAACAAACAGAATTCTAAAACCACAGAGAAATATTTCTAAAGAAATTTCATGCTGTAGATGTTAATGGCATTAGTCCATCATTAGCTGCTATTTGTAAAATATGAATATGTATTCCTCCATTATTCATTATTATTGTTCATTATTTAAGGCTAGCAAATCTTTTACACGTCTGTCTGCATGTTAAAAGCCCTCAAAGGACAAAAGCCATGCCCTTCACGCTTGCCCTCCAAGGGGTCAAGTCCAAGTGGGCACTTTCTGGTGATGGGATTAAGCTGAAAAATAAGTTCCTTTGCGCCCTTTACGTGTCAGCTTTACTTGGCTTTTTGGTGCCCGTGTGTGTTTTTCCTTTTCATTTCATTACATTTTCTTTTGACGGGGAGAGAGAGAGTGGGCGAGTTGACCACCGTCCTCGGGTAGATCTGAGGTGTTTGTAATGTCTCTGTGTTCCCACTAGGTGCAGCCAGCTTTATGACTGCCTTTTTGCTAACACAGCCTCCAGTAAATCCCTGAAGACCTCGGGCAGGCTTAATTCAGAGACGAGACCGGGCGAGGCCTACCAACGGGAAGAGGCAAAGATGTCAGAGCAGCACAGCTGTTTCCCGTCTGATTCAAAGGACCTGCTCATTGACTCAGCCCAGAGAGCCTTGAATTCACACGCTAATCCATGTGATGAAGTAAGCAATACAAAACAGGATGCTGGCATGAATCTGAGTGATTTCATACTTTGTGAGAAACAGCAACTCACCAAAGCACACAAAGAAAAGGGAACATGTCAGGAAAAAACAATACATATAGAATTAAAGCAACTTCAATTGGTCACCTTCCCCCCAAAAAAGACAAACTGAGCTATTTCAATTCCATTTCTTATTTATCTACTCCATAATCAAATGCTTTGTTGGATAAAATCTACATGTACTTTCTGAATAGCAGAACACTATTTGAAGAGAAAACTGGCAAAGGAAAAAGTTAAATCTCCTTCACAATATTCCTCAGAAATAAGAAAGAGGCAAGATCAACACATTGAGGATCAACCTAAACATAACATTTGTTGAACTGAAAATGAAGTGCAGGCTCTGGCTAGAATAAAACCTGAGACAGAAAGGTCCTCCTTAGTACGCCCACATTCACCATAAAATATATTCAATAATAATAAGTTAAATAACATCCTTGTGAGGGACAGTGAAACTGGTGAGAAGCTGGATCTGTTCCAGAATTATAGAAGTATCGTCAGAGCCCTCACCACAATAGCCCAGCCAGGAGGTCCGTGGTCCAGTGAAGATCTGTGGCACCGCTGACCGAGTTGATCAGTAAAGATAGTATGAAAGAACCATTCTCTTGACATGGTAATGCTTCCATACAATCTATTTGAACTATTACCAAAAATGTGTTTTTTTCCCCAGTGAGCTTCCAAGTGTTGAAAACAAGGTTAGAGAACAAGAATTATGCAAGAGATGAATTAAGCCAAGGAGGTGGGACTTTCTCAGCTGTTGGTACCGAGTTAACATACCCGACAGGCAGGTATAAAACACGTGTTCTCACTGGGGAGCCTCCCCCACGGCATGGGTTTGGTGTTCTGGAAGCATCTCTACTGTCTTCATAAGAAAGCATCTCTACTGTCTTCATAAGAAAGACCTCAGATTTGTACCAGAGCCAAAGATATTAAAGCATAAAGTATGCACTTTCAGTGTGCCAGAGAAATGTATTAATATCAAATTGCCTAAATTCAAAGAAACAAAGAACTTTCCTGATGATGAGTTACATCATCTTCTCTTCACACCTTCAAAGGTCACATCTTTGAGGAATTAAGAAACTCACCTGTTTCACATCAAGAAATGAAATGCCAAATGAAATCCTTAAAGAAAAGATCAGCAACGCTATTTTTTTTTCAAAAAAATGTCCCTGCTATCAATTCATCAAAGATGTCCAAAAAGAGTGATTTGCGATCCAAATCTCTTTCAACATAAAATATATACATTTCCAGTCTGTTTCATGACTGACAGGAATAGCCAATATTAATACACTTAATTATTTATAGTTTGACCTTTACCTTACAGAAATTCAAAGAGCAGCTCTCCTTATAAATTCAAGATAATGACCATACTAACTTTTTGAATATAAATCAACTTTTTAAAATTAATGGTGTACCGACTACCATTTTGATTTCTTGTTGAAATGAGAGAAGATCAAAACTGGGATTTCAATATACCAGAAAATCTCTTTAACTTCATTTCTTCAATAACTGTGTATGCAGTTCCTCCTATCAGCAGGGCATTGAACACATATAACATGAGAATGAAGAGTTAGATAAACTATATACAAAACTGGAACTTCCCTGGTGGTCCAATGGTTAAGAATCTACTTGCCAATGCAAGGGACACAGATTTGATCTCTAGTCTGGGAAGATTCTACATGCCGCAAGGCAACAAGGGCCATGCACCACAACTGCTGAAGCCTGTACGCCAAAAGCCAGAGGTTCCCAATAAGAAAAGCCACTGCAATGAGAAGCCCACACACCACAACTAGAGAAAAGCATGCACAACAAGGAAGACCCAGCACAGCCAAAAATAAATAAATAAAAAGTAAAAATATATATTTATACATGTACAAAATAGTGACTTCCATTTAAGAAGACAAAATTTTATTAAGGAGGCCAAAGAATTTGCCTAAATAGGTAAAATTATTAAATGAGGGTAAAACTCAAAGTGGGCTTTCCATGTGGCACTAGTGGGAAAGAACCTGCCTGCCAATGCAGGAGACTTAAGAGACACAGGTTCGATCCCTGGGTCAGGAAGATCCCCTGGAGAAGGAAATGGCAACCCTCTCCAGTATCCTTGCCTGGAGAATCCCATGGACGGAGGAGCCTGGCGGGCTGTGGTCCATGGGGTCACAGAGAGCCTGACACAACTGAAGGACTTCGTGCCCACGCACACGGAAGGCAAAGTACTACAGGCACAAGAGCAAAGTCATCGGAGACAAGAGCGCCTCTAACAGCTGAAAGAATGACAAATAAAGGAGTGATTGCTATTGAATTTGGGAGCAGGCAGGCTGTTATCCTGGGGAAGATTTTTGAGCAAGTTAAATTTTGAATAGAGTCTAGAGGGAGATAGCGTCTCAGAAAGCTGCTTTCCTCAAATGACCTTCTGTTCATCACTCTCTTTAAGCCACAATTGTTCATTCACTACAAAAATAAAATACCTGAAACCCGTCTTCAGAGAACACAGCAGAAGAGACAGACCACCCCTGGGCATATTTCTGGAAAAAATGAGACACTAATTCAGAAAGATAAATGCAACTTAGTGTTCAGAGCAGCACACTTTACAATAGCCAAGATATGGAAGGAATCTAAGTGTCCATCAACAGACGAGTGGATAGAGACGATGAGGTACATATATACCAAAAAATATTACTTGACTGTAAGAAAGAATGAAATTTAGCAGTAAAATAGATGGGGTTAGAGAATATTATGTTTAGTGAAAGAAGTCAGACAGAGAAAGACAAATACTGTATAATATTACTTATATGTAAAATCTAAAAAATAATACAAGTGGATGTATAAGGCAAAACACAAGAAGATCGTAGACATAGAGAACAAACAAGCGTAGAACAAACTACAGCGAGAAGAGATATGATGGGGGCACATTAGTGATATAGGGTTAAGAGATATAAACTACTATGTATAAAATAGATAAGCAGGAGCCCAGCGGCGGGTGTGAGAGTCGGTCGGGAGTCGCTTTCAGGGTCCCCAGATCCGAGAAGCCGGAGTGAGAGCGGCTCCTCAAGAGTTTTTGATCTATGAAATGGCAGAGAATGGAAAAAATTGTGGCCAGAGATGTGTAGCAATGAACAAGGAACAATATAATGGAAACTTCACAGACCCCTCTTCAGTGAATGAAAAGAAGAGGAGGGATAGAGAAGAAAGACAGAATATTGTCCTGTGGAGACAGCCACTCATTACCTTGCAGCATTTTTCTCTGGAAACCCTAGTAATCTTAAAGGAATGGACCTCAAAATTATGGCATCGTCAAAGCATTGTGGTGTCTTTTTTACTGCTGCTTGCTGTGCTTACAGCTACGTATTATGTTGAAGGAGCACATCAACAGTATGTACAACGTATAGAGAAGCAGTTTCTTTTGTAAGCCTACTGGATAGGCTTAGGAATTTTGTCTTCTGTTGGGCTTGGAACAGGGCTGCACACCTTTCTGCTTTATCTGGGTCCACATATAGCTTCAGTTACATTAGCTGCTTATGAGTGCAATTCAGTTAATTTCCCTGAACCACCTTATCCTGATCAGATTATTTGCCCAGATGAAGAGGGCACTGAAGAAGCCATTTCTTTATGGAGCATCATCTCAAAAGTTAGGATTGAGGCCTGCATGTTGGGTATCGGTACAGCAATTGGAGAGTTACCTCCATATTTCATGGCCAGGGCAGCTCGCCTCTCAGGTGCTGAACCAGATGATGGAGAGTATCAGGAATTTGAAGAAATGCTGGAACATGCAGAGACTGCACAAGATTTCGCCTCCCGGGCTAAACTGGCAGTTCAAAATCTAGTACAGAAGGTTGGATTTTTTGGAATTTTGGCCTGTGCTTCAATTCCAAATCCTTTGTTTGATCTGGCTGGAATAACATGTGGACACTTTCTTGTACCTTTTTGGACTTTCTTTGGTGCAACCCTGATTGGAAAAGCAATAATTAAGATGCATATCCAGAAAATCTTCGTTATCGTAACATTCAGCAAACACATAGTGGAGCAGATGGTGGCTTTCATTGGTGCTGTCCCCGGCATAGGTCCATCTCTGCAGAAGCCATTCCAGGAATACCTGGAGGCCCAGCAGCAGAAGCTTCACCACAGAAGCGAAATGGGCACACCACAGGGAGAAAACTGGTTGTCCTGGATGTTTGAGAAGTTGGTTGTTGTAATGGTGTGTTACTTCATCCTGTCCATCATTAACTCCATGGCACAAAGTTATGCCAAACGAATCCAGCAGAAGTTGGACCAAAAGGAGAAAACCAAATAAGCAGGAAAAGGTTTTAACTGCAGAAATTAAAATGGAAGGGTTCTGCCTTAAGGTGGGAGGACTCCAGATCAGGAAGGAAAATTATTATATCTTCCAACCTGTGTCAGTTTTTATTTTTTTCCCCCCTGAAAGCAGTTTAGTCCACATCTTGCACTGACATACTTTTCCTTTGTTAAGGTAAGGTATCCACCCTTGGTTCAATCCAAGTTGTATTTTATTAGGTTGGAATGTGATGTTGAGCAGCAAAGTTAACAGAAACTGGCCTTCTGTTTGTTACTTTCAAAGGCCCACGTGGTACAATTAAAGAATTCCAAACACCATCCCCCCAAAAGAATTCCTAAGTATGTTAAATATTTCAAGCTTTTTAAGCTTGTCAAATATGACTTCTTTGTTTTTCTAAGTCATCAAAAGTGTATATAAATCATACTAGATTAGATAACAGTCTTGCATGTCTATCATGATATAATTTAATATGCCATCCTGCCCAACCCTTCCTCTCTCACCTTCGAAGAAAGGCCATTTTATGATGCATTGCACACCCTCTTGGGAAACTGATCTTTCAATTTTGAGACAGTATAAGGAAAATCTTGTTGGTGTCTCACAAATGAGCTGACACCATTTTTTATTCTGTATATTTAGAATGAAGTCATGAAAAAACTTTATAAATACATCTTTGATCATTCCAAAAAAAATAAATAAATAAAATAAAATAGATAAGCAACAAGGCTATATTGTCCAATACAGGAGGTAATAGCCATTATGTTGTAGTAAATTTAAATGGAGGATAAACGGTAAAAATACTGAATCACTATGCTGTAGGCCTGAAACTGATATTATGACTAAATTACACTTCAATCTAAAAAATTAATATAATGAGAGTGGTAACAGTGTAGTCAGGTTATAGAAGAAAAATAGTTCTACCTGACAAGTGAGAGATGTTTTCAAAATGCAGAAACTAAGTGGACTGTTGAGAGAGGAACAGAAGTTTCCATAAAAAGAGTGGGGTGAGAAGGCCATACCAGGAATAACAACCATGCAAAGTCTGCAGGGCTCCATTGAAGGCAGGAGGAAAGGGGGGCGACAGAGGATGAGATGATTGGATGGCATCACCAACTCAATGGACATGAGTTTGAGCAAGCTCCAGGAGACGGTGAATGACAGAGAAGCCTGGCATGCTGCAGTTCATGGGCTCGCAAAGTCAGACACAACTGAGCAACTGAACAACAACAATTGAAAAAGACCCTGATGCTGGGAAAGACTGAGGGCAGGAGAAGAAGGGGGTGGCAGAGGACGAGATGGTTAGATGGCATCACTGACTCTATGGACATGAGTTTGAGCAAACTCTGGGAGATAATGAAAGACAAGGAAGCCTGGTGTACTTCAGTCCACGAGGTTGCAAAGAGACACGACTTAGCAACTGAACAATGGTAGAAGAGAGCATGGTCTTCCAGAGCCTGAGAGCAGGGAGTCAGGGACTACGGAAGATCTGATGGAAAGCCGACCTGGGCCAGAATGTAAAGGTCTTTCATATGCAAGACTTCTAAAAAAAAAAAAAAAAGACTTCTATTTCCTCCTCAGCACTAAACACACTTCAAGAACAATGACAATTTTATTTATTTATTTGCATTTTTTACCCCCAGCATTTTTATTCAGTCAGTCCCTGGGGAGCCAAGAAGGAAAGAACTATAAGATACTCACAATTTATTGTTTGGTATTGTTCTAAAATTAATAATCCTTGTGACAGCGAAAGAAGCATGAAAGAAACAAATGTGTTTTATGTTAAATGTTGACTTCTAGCACTAATTTCAGTTCTTAAATAGGACAATTTTTATTATTCAGAAAAACTAAATGTATAATATGGGACAGAGATTGCATTTATTAGCAAGCATTTCGCTTAATCAGCCAGATAGTTACCACTGGCCAGACAAGTGCTTATGAATTATGGCATTGCTTTTGGCAAAACTATTTATCTGCGTGACATGATATGTCACTTTTGAACTTCAACTTGACATCCATAAAATTACATTTTCATCAAACTGAAAGATCAAGCTTTCCATGCTGACTCACTTGGGTCAACATTTTGCAAATGCCTGGATTTACCACTTGAACCATAAACCCTTTGTGAATAATTCTGTGCACTGATGTTTGATAGCCTAGGGCACAGATCATCATTTCTGAGCAGAAGAAGGGGCGTTAAAGCAAAATGCATTTCCTTTCTGCATGCCCAATGACTTCCTCCAAAGAGTATTCTCATCAGGTCATTTTGAAATCACTGGATTAAACACTAACTTTGTGGAGCCCTGAAAGAAAGTAAAGAGCATCCATGGTGCATTGTTTACTTCTTAGGATTAGGAAAGAACATCACCCCCACTGCCAGAGGATATTCACTAGTGTACAGGCACTTGCCACAATTTAGGGTCCATGCATGCTAAGTCAATCCAGTCGTATCCAACTCTTTGAGACCCTATGGACCGTAGTCTGCCAGGCTCCTTCTGCCCATGAGATTCTCCAGGCAAGAATACTGGAATGGGTTATCATGTGCTCCTCCAGAATATCTTCCCAAACCAAGGATCAAACCCATGTCTCTTAATATCTCCTGCACTGACAGATGGGTTCTTTACTACCGAGCCACCAAAGAAGTCCCTTGTAGAGCTCCTTAAAATTTCCTTCTTTATGTTAGACTTAATTTCAGGTTCTTTAAAAATATGCAATGAGGAGAAAACCTCAAAACTGATCAAAAGACCTAGAAAGAGTCATCAGTTATTCTGCCCTTAATTCTCTACTCAAAACAAACAAACAAACATAAAGATATCCCATGCAACATTCAGGTGTTACTGCTCTTTTCTGAACCTTGTTTATGAGGTGGATTTTTTTTCCAGTGAACAACACAGATCTGGACCTCTCACCCTGGCAAGTAAATATAGCGGTTTGGCCCTCAGGTGACTGCTTAAAAGAGGAAATGACCCTATGCCCCTGTAGTCTTTTTGGACAGAAATGACTGGCTGTGATGAAATTCAGTCATCACCTCAAATACTCCATTTGAGAATTATTAAGTGAACAGGTTCCCCACTGACTTTTACTAACCACATTAAAGAACAATCTGGCTCCATTTTTAAAGCAAGATTTTTTCACAGTAATTTTGCAAGAACAAATAACCCATTTGGTGCAATCATGTAAGATTTGTCTTCCAAGAAAGGTGCATACTAGTTTTGGTACTACTTACACAAGAACAAACTGTGAGCTCCCAATCTTGTCCAAGGCAAAGGAAGAGAAACATTAAACATGGTGATTGTTATGGTGATTTCACTAAAGGCTGGAAGAAATGATGACAAAAATTCTTGCCATCTTCTCTCGCAGGTAGCAAGTTTGAAGGCAAATCTTTGGCAAGTGCTCTGACTCTGCTATCATGTGAAATTGGAATGCTATTGAAAGAGTTGACTGGGCTAACCATAACCCTAAAGGTGGAAGGAGGTGCCTGGCATTTTAGAGATGTCTGCAAGAACCACACAGATTTTAACTAAGATGGTATTGAATTCTTGGGAGAAGGTTGGACTTAGTGTTAGGTACTCAGCACTTACAAGAATCTTTTTGGCACAACTTGTGATAAACCAGTTTCAATAATATTGGTATAGACCTTGCAGAGTCTCAAAAGTTAACAGGCAAGCTACTAAATCAGATGACTGAGAAGAAGATATCTCACTTTTACTTCCTGTTGCAACTGAAAGAAAATTCTATCCAGCCTAGATTAAATAGCAAAGTAGACTTATTAGCTCACTTAACTAAAAAGTCCAAAGATAAAGAGACTCTAGGTTAGACTTGATGTACCACTCAACCATATGAGAAAAAGAAATTTCCTTCCATCTCTCTTATCTGCCTCCCACAGGGTCAAGTTTATCTTAGACCTGGCTCTCTTATAGTCACAGGGAGCTCCCAGGGTTCCAAGCCTCTTTATTCAAGCTTGGGACAATGGGCAGTCTTCTGGTACCACCCAAGGAACTTCAGGAAAACCCTTTCCAGAAGATTCTAGAAATATCTCCTTAACTCTCAATGGTGTGAATCCCGTGCTTATCCCCAAACTAATCAATGTGACTAGTAACCAAGGCATATAGCTTGTCATGTCCTAGACTTTAAGTCCAAGACTAAGAATTTTTTTCATCTAATGATCTGCCCTTGATTTAGGCGCCTTCACCCTGGGCCAATTCCAAGCAGACCATGCAAGAAAGGCTCCACAAAGAGATTTCTCTCCAAGGGCCCCTCCCAGCTTCATCTTTCTGAGAGCAATGACTGCTTCTGCTCCCCAACAGGGAGCACGCAGCAGGGGGTGCCTGGGAGGAGTCTGGGGAGCCTGCTTCTCCCAGCTCTGACCTCATCTGCAACTGAGTTTTTACTTCCTTGTGTTTACTTGCACTAACTTTAGCCTGGGAAAGCGACTTTTGAACCCTGCTTAAACCATTTTGGATTACAGACTACTGCATCAAAGGCCTCCCAGCAAAGTTGTGGGAGTTTTCTCTCTCTCTTTTCAGCTTCAGGCTAAGCAAACCCTTTCCAGTAAGACCTTAAACTAAAGCTTACAAGGGGTCAAAATCTGCCAACATCCTCAATTTTCTCTACCAAGTTTCTCAATGCTCTGCCTTTGTAGGCAAAAGATCTAAGAGCCAAATTATAGGGCAGGTCTTAGGTCAACTAGCTGTTCTATTACTAAGCGTAAGAACAGATAATTTTCCAGGCTTCGATAATAAAACCTCAAGGCTCTCTGCTCAACTCCCCAGGGTCAGTCAATTCCACATTGTCAGGTGTATCTATCTAAAATGCTCCTATTAACAGTAGCAAAAAACAGAAATAGATTTTGACAACTCTTAACAAAAGGGAATTTGTTGGAAAGTATTGAGGGCCCATGAAACAACAGGAGGTTGGAGGACTAGGCTTAGAAACGGAGAGAAGTGAAGTAAAGTTGCTCAGTTGTGTTCGGCTCTTTGCAACCCCATGCACTATAGCCCTCC